GTTCATACTGCGTCCTTTCCACGATCTGGGGTACATAGTGAGTTAAAATGAAGTTACATGGTCTGTTTTTTTTTGGGTTTAGGGTTTAGGATTTAGGGTTTAGGGTTTAGGGTTCAGAGTTTAGGATTGAGGGTTTAAGGGCCCTTCTGGCGGATGATGTAAGGCTGGTTACGTTTTTGCCCGAAGTCCTAATCTCTCAGGGCCACACCTTAAAATTTGAAACTTGAAGCGTGCATTTGATGATATAGGGATGTTGGAAAGTACATGGAAACTATAATAGATTCATATATGTATATAGGGACTATATAGGGGGAAAATATACATATATACATATATACACATACATATGTATATACATATGTATATATATGTATGTATATCATGGCATGGAACATGAAGCAAATTCTAGCAGACTTAACGGGCTGCGTAGCCAGAAAACAAATTACTATCTTGATTCTTCCTGTTCAAAGTATTTAAGCCAAGTAGGCGACAGCCCTCCTCCTTTTTTGGTTGAAGTCTAACTTCTGAGGTAAAAGAAATATGGAAAGTGGACATTTTATGGATTGGACGGCCTTCCACCCGAAACTTTCAGACAGTCATCCGGGGAAAGCCAAAATCTTTAACCCCCCACCATGTGAACGCATCATCGTGATCCCAGTCTAAGTTTCAGATGCTTTTTGTATCTTCCTCTCCCCAAAGGTCAAGGACAGAAGGACAATACATATGCCCTCATTATAGAGCGGCACCATATGGGGTGTGTTATAAACTGCGGGGCGAAGGTTGTTACCAGGGGAAGGATTCATTTTGGTGTTTACGTGTAACAGATCCTCGCAGTCGAAAGGTACAGGGGAACATAACCCTAAACCCTGAACCCCTTCGCCGCTTAATCCCACACCCTAACCTGGTCTTGCAGGGGCTTTACCTCGTCCATGTTGGGAGGTCATGGTTTCAAAGCCTAGCGCCTTTGACCATGGTTTACGGTTCAGGGTTTAGGGCTACCAGTGTTTTGGGTGTTAACGCTCCCAACTGCTGGTTTCACTGGATAGGAGTTGCAGTTGAACATTGCAGGGACTCCCTGCCAGGAAACTTCACCCAAGCCCTAAACTGGGCTTTTGTAGAACAAAATCTTACATTTTTATGGATACCTGGGCCCAATATCAATTAAACAAAGATCTTTTTTAATGGTATCTCAACAAGAACCCAGTAAACCCTGAACCACGTACAGAATAAGAGGGATCATCGGATTTTTAATGTCTGGATCCAAGGACTCGATGGGCACATCGGTGCACCTTGCCTGGCATACAGGAGAGCTTCCAACGTATTGCGCCGGCTTATTCTGGGTTGCTGTTAAGGAACTTAAATTAAGTTACCATAATGGGTATATATATATATAGTAAGTAATAAGGTTTCCCCAATATAGTAACTTAATTTAATTTCCTTAACCGCAACCCAGTACTTCGATCGTGTCCGAAGACTAGACCCCAAACCTTAAACCCCAAACCCCGTATGTATTTCCCCCTAAACGAGGTTGGACCAGCTAGGTAGGAGAGCACGATGCTATTTTGTGATGCGTCTATCCCATCCATGAAGAACGCTCGTAGCAGTTACTGTACAGCTTTGACCTTTCAAATTTCTGTGCTTTCCCAGCTTGCTATGAACAGTGCCCATTTATGCCTTGACGTGTATTCGGAACGAGGTACCAGAAATGGAATCAGCGCACCTACCCTGTTCTGGGATTTGGCTCCCATCCCGCAGATCAGGCGCGAAGGGTGAACCCTAAACCCTAAACCCTTAACCCTAAAACCCTCAAACCCTAAAACCCTAAACCCTAAAACCCTAAACCCTAAAACCCTAAACCCTAAACCCTAGCTTTTGAGGACTAAAGTTGGCAGTTTAAAGTCAAGGGTATGAGGCTTTCACCTTGGGGCTTTAGGGGCAGGAGGTGGGGTTTAGGGTTTAGGGGGTTTAGGGTTTAGGGGGTTTAGGGTTTAGGGTTTAGGGGGTTTAGGGTTTAGGGCTACTCAAGGGATATGGCTACGAGGCCAGAACTGGCAAGCCTTAATTACTTGTGCACGTGCGTATGCAATGGATCGTGATTTCCAGAAGCTCGCCTCATGCATTGCTTATGCAATCAGAGTATCAATGAAGACAGCCGGATGCAGTGTGGCAACAGGTTCATTGATTTCAGCATTGCAGGCTATTGCTCCACCGACGCGACTTTCCAAAGTAGACGCCATGCAAGTCAAACGGACAGGTGAAAAGAGACGAATCTGTTTGAGCGAGGCTTTGGGGATCGTTACAGGTGCTGGGGATTGCTCATTCAATGTTGCATCCTCGCCGCTGTGCCTTGCAAGTGACTCAACAACTGTAGCCACTTCGTGTCACCACTCTACTCAGACACACGCCGAGATGATCACTCGGGAAGAATGCGAAGGAATTGTGGGTGTTTTGGCACAGAAATGTGACGGGTTGCAAGCATCGTGGCAATCGCTGCAAAATCGGCTGCGGGACCTTGAACTTCAATCTCACAGAGAACCCGCTGCGTCAAGTACCTCTAAGCTTGATCAAGGTCAGCCGCCCCGTGTGGATCCCTTTCCTTGTGAGACTTCTGAATCCAGTGCTGGCGAATTGTGGGCTTTGCGGGAACGTCACCGTGCCTTGAGGTTGGCCAGGAAACAGCAACGTAGAGAAGATCGACTACAGGGTCTTGATGGTCGAGCGCACATGCCCTTTGACAACTGATTCATTGTACAAACCTGAGACACATGCGGTTGCATGCCATGCTTAGCTCATGAAGCCTCTGTTGTCATGTGTTGTAGCACGCACGTCAAGTTACAGATGTCAGAGTTCTGCCGCGGCGTCTTGTGCGGAGCACGGATGTGGTCGGCCTCCCAGCTTACCCTGGAGCAGAGTCTGGGTTCAAAAACGGGTTTAGGGTTTTGGGCTGAGGATTTTGGCTTTAGGTGTGTCAGGCTTAGCATTGAGGGCCTCAGCTTCTAAAGGCTTTAGGGATTCAGGCTACCTAGCGGGCTCAGCCCTGTTGCAAAACAACATAATTCCCCTACTACCCCAATGTAGGTCTCATCTTAAAGCTTATGGCCCACTGAGAGCCCTAGGGTTAGGCTGTAATGTCTCGGGCTGGTGTCTCCAATCACTCTAGCTGGCATTTGCTCCCACAATCAAAGGCTTTTCTCTTTTGATTGTGTTGTCCTTGGAATAGCTGAGCGCAGCATTCACTTCTGAGGTGTTGCCTTGGGGTTGTTTGTTTCATGGACTAGTCAGACTTGCGGGTTGATATTGCCAATACTAATACTATAAGCGGGATCAACCTTGCATGATGTTGTGATTCTAATCCACATCTTCCTAGGGCCGCAGGGTTTTGGGGTACCTCGCGGCTGCATGTAGACTTGAGGGCCCAGTAATAAAGATAAGCAACATTTCAGCAGCTTTGCGTTCCTTACTCCAGAAAGGTGCACGGCACAATGACCCAAACATACCTAAACCACAGTTTTCTGCTCCCAATTCAACGCCTTCAGCTGAAACCTGTCACCTCTACATAGAACCCAAATGCCCGCGTCCCTTACACGCGAAATCCGATCAGGCGAAGGTGAATGAAGAGCTGAAGGAGGTCCTGGGCTGAATGAAGAACCCCAAAACCCTGAAGCCCTAACCCCTACGTCCTGAACCCTCAGCCCTTAAACCCAATGCCTAACCCTAAAAATTCTTATCCTTGAACAAACCCTTAACCCTTAAACCCCAATTCCAAACCCTAAAACTGTTATCCCTAAGCCCTAAAACCCCTGAACCCTAAAACCCTAAAACCCTAAAACCCAAACCCTGAAACTCAAAACTAAACCACAAACCCTAAAGCCCTAAAACCCTAAAACCCAAAGCCCTTATCCCCCAAACCACGAGGTGCTGAGCTGCTTCAAGCGTGCCTTCATTGGCCAGGGCAAGTTCATCTGCGGCAACACCCTCACAATTGCAGACTACAAGGCTCTAGGGTGACTTGAGGGAAACACTTGGGTTTAGGGTTTAGGGTTTAGGGTTTAGGGTTTAGGGTCTGGGTTGCTGTTAAGGAACTTAAATTAAGTTACCATAGCGGGTATATATAGTAAATAATAGGGTTTCCCCAATATAGTAACTTAAATTAAGTTCCTTAACAGCAACCCTCACAATTGCAGACTACAAGGCTTCTTTCTTTGTTCCTTGTAAGGACTGGGCCTGCATTCAAGATTTGCTTGTCTGGATTGGGACCTATAGGGTTTAGGGTTCAGGGAATTCAGGGTTGGTTTGAGCTTCAGGCTTCTTTCTGCCATCCTGCATTTTTGAAACCAGATGGTTACCTCGAGGCTCTTGGCAGACACTTTCTTATAGCTACTCTACCATCCCTATTACACATAGAGCGAAATCCCGAAGTTGCACAGGGCTAGGCATTGAAGATTCCCGAAATGTCCAAGTACCCAGTAATTAGGTATTCAGATTTGGGGAATCAGTATGAATTGTAGTCCAGGTTTGGGCAAGTATGTGGTTGTTGTATACTGGGACCCTTTGGATACTTGCCAAGCTTTGATAAGTCAGGAATTTGGGAGACTGCGGGGGGCACGCCACAGGAGACGCCTTGCCAATTTCTTGCAAATACTTGCATGTTTTACCGCAGGGTATGTGATATGTTAGGGTTTCTCTATGGATCCTGTTCCGGATACTGGTACCAGGTGTTACCTCATCTTGAAAGAGTACGAAGGGGAAACCATTTGTTCAGACTGATTCTGTTGATGAGGGGAAATCTTGCAGCACTTACGGCTTGCAATTCCTAGGAATGATCGGATTCCCTGCAGCCCTGCAAGAACAATTCCGCAGAAAGTCGCTGAAGCTACAGGAAGTTGTAACCCATCCAAGCCAATTCTCCTTGGTCTCAAATGGCACTTACTCAATTATTTCCGGCACGATGCTTGAATGGGAACCCCTACAATCTCCATAGCCGTCCCCAACAAATATTAGGGCACCCCTCTTGGAGCAATTCATTAACTGCAAGCCCCAGAGGTTAGTCTTCTCAGCCAGGAAGAACTAGGTCGTCGTTCAAACACAGTATTCTATGGCCCCTCTGTAACTCGAAGGATCCCAAGTATTTGTATAGGGAATACTGACCTCAACCATGTTATTAATGCCTAGTATAGACACCCTACTTTGTACCATGCAGATACTTAGGATCCTTTGGATGCAGCCTCAACCGTGCACAAGCTTCAACCGTAAATCCTACACCGGAGCCCCAAAGCTTGACAGCCACCATGTGGGGGTTTCCCAAAAGTAGGAGTATGATTTTTGGGGTCCCCACAATAAAGGTTAGAGTATTTTGGGGCCTACACTGGGGTCCCCCTATTTATGGAAACTACTATGCATGCCTCGACTTGGAGTGTAGGATGCGCAAGGCTGCGCAAAACACGTCATGCCAACACAGAGACTTCTATAGAATGGCTTTAATGGGGCCCCTGTATCCTATACCCTAAACCCTAAACCCTAAACCCTTATAACCCTTCATGAAAAGTAGGATCCCCGGGCCTCCATGGCGGGATTCTAAACCCTAAACAACACTAAAGAAAAGCTGGAAACATGCAAAGGACACCGGCTTTGTAGGAGCTATAGTCTAAGCTCCTGAAAGGGGGTTATATCGGGGATTATTTAGGGGCTACCAAAAAGAAAGTATAAAAACACCAGCGCCAAAATCCCTGAACTCCCATCCCTTTTGTTTAGGCCTAAATCACAAGCCCTTACCCTAAACCCTAAGCCCGGTTCAGGGCAGCAAGGAAAGAAGCCTGAGGGAACCGCTACTCAGATCCTACAATGTTGTTTCTTGTTCAGGGTAGTCAATTCTCTTCAGGTACCCCCTAAGAAGAAGCTACATGGTCCCCACACGAAAAGCGCACAGGCGATGCCTTACTTACACTGCGCCATGCAGCCCATGATCAAGCAGAAATCAGGCTTCTGTCTCTACGGTTTGGGGTACGTTGGGAGGAGGGCTTATAACCCTAAACCCAAGGTGGCTGCCGGGTACAGATCAGGATTTGGGGATCTAGGGTTTGGGGGCTGAGGGCTTCATAGTGTGTGGGGGCTTGGGGCTTTGTCAGGTTGAGAAGTTGAGGAAAGGAGCTTGGGGCTTAGAGTCCCCCTTGAGTAGATAGAATCTGGGGTATATGGGGATGCAATTAGAATATACCCAAAGCCAAATTCTATCTACTCCATGGGACTATAGATGGTCAGGGACTTTGGATTTAGGATTTGGGCTGCAGGGCGTTCGCGCTCAGGAGCTTTGGGGGCTGGAGGGATGATTCAAAACTCAGTCGGGGTTTTAGGCCTTGTGAAGTTTTGTGTGGCGTGCTTGCTCTAAGTGTCCCTGCATTGCTGTGTCTATGAGGGTCGTGACTCCCCAGAGCGAAACAAACATGACAAGCCCTTGGAACCCCGTTGCATAAGGATTGTGATCTTCGCAGCGGGTTCTTTTCTGGGGTTTCATTTCCTGCTCATGGTCAAGCAACAGAGGCATTCAGCTGGATCCGCGTCTCGAACAGCCTCTCGCTCGGGAGTCAGGGCTGGGTTGTAGGCTTTGGATTCTTAGGGTTGCAATGCCTACATTGGAGCTAGACTCTTTGTAGTATTATGCTAAACAACCAATAGTAACCTCAAAAGTGATTTCGAGGATTTTGAGGTTGGGGGGGGTGGGGGAGCTTTCGAGGTTCTAGGCCTTAATCCCTAAATCTACATC